CATTTTCACGAGTTTTTGCAAAGCAAAAAGTCGACTAAAATAATCCCATTAATATCGTGGAACAAATTAGGCACGAGCCTAAATTCGGGTGAGTGATTTGAACTACGGTTCACTTGGACTTAGTACGGTAGGAAATCGAATTTGAATCGTGCGCCTAATCCACCTATTTATTTGTGTTTGTGCCGCTAAGTCAATCCCATGCGGTCGGCTCTAAAGAATATCTAGAGTTTAAACATGAGGGATTCTGAGTATTGAACAAGAAAAATGTTTACTGGATCCCATTTTGTATGTTAATCTTGAGGGGACCTATCCACACCTAAATAGCTGAAGACATGTCCTTTAATTTGAACAAATGTCATGTTTGGTACGATGGAATGAAATGGAACGAGGATCTTAATTCCTTTATCCGGTTTAAGTAAGAATGGAATATCATAAGGATTCTTTTTTTTGGTTGTAAGGCAAAAAAAAGAAAATTATGGAATGGAATTAAATGAAAATTTCAACAAAAAAATGTATATGAAATTCCGGCTTTGGCCGGGATTGGCTCGAGATGGCCCGGTCCTATTTAGTCTGGGTTAAATCACGTAGCTTTGGTCCGAACTAGGACCGTGGGCAAAAAATAAGCATGCCTAAAATTTATGGGGAGGGGAGGGGCAAAATCTTGGCAAAAGCCTGTCCAGCCTAGGCCACCAGTTTTAATCACAACATGCCTATTGGGAGCGTATAACAGAAACCCGATACTTTTACCCGGGAAGATCACCAAGGGAGAGTCAAAGTCCGAACCTGTCAACATATCCAGCTAGATCCACCTTCACTCAAAAGCTTAAGCCAATGAGTTATAAGTCAATTATGATACATTAACTTCTTCACACCGCACTAATTCTCCACGTGGAATATCTCTAATACAATTCACACATGCATCCCGACAATAGATGTTAGGATTAGGCATATAAACATAATGAAATAGAGAGTAAAGACGAAAAAGAGAAATTGAGATGCAATGTTTATCCTGGTTTACTTTTAAACTATGGCTATATTCAGCAGAAGATTTCACTATAATTAGCATCTCACAACTCTTAATTATAAAATAAAGATATTATATATAGTCAGCAGCTATTCATGGGTTTAAGCAAAAACTATCAATAAAATCTGAACCCCGTGCTTTCTTGTCAATAAGGATTATGAACCACACCCCAACAACGCCTACAATTTAGCGACGATTATACCAAACGGGCTCAAATTAGTCTATTCACATAGAAAGGTGCGTATCCAAAGCGTGGAAATAGCGCAACCCTTTATCGCTGTGGGCATGTTATTTTCCAATATAGAATGTAATACCGCAGCAGAAGAACCCGATATCATTGTACACTTATTGGAATAAGATATTTACAAGGGCAAGAGTGACTTGAGGGCATTATTAAAACCCATTTTAGGTCGAGAAATTTCAAGCCACGAGTCAATGAAAAGGATTTTCTTTATACTATATTGATTTAATTCATATTTAGAAGTGTATAATTTAGGGAAGACCCGGTGGATGTTAGCTAGGGTGAGTCATCAAAGTCTTTGTCAGCACTAGACAGATTGGATTAGGACAGAAATTGACTGAAAAACCTTAGTGAGCTTAGTCACTTAGTCGTTGATATTTGGAAAAATAATTCTAAATTATATCGAATGAAAAAGAGTGTTGACCCCTAAAATTTAGCTTTGCTTAATTCGACGCGCCCGCGGGGGTGTCTTCGAATGTCTTGGGTGTTGTTGTCGTGCCAAAATATGGAGCTTTCGATGTGAACAAGTTTTCTAGAGAAGTATCGCAATTAACTTAACCATCAAAAGAGTTAAATCAAGCATGAATGAATTTCTTCACACGTTGTTGTATGAGATGTTGATAATGCTTTCGGAGTTGAAATGACCGCGAGTCGCAGTCTCGTGTACGTAGGAACTCAATCCGGCAAATTCAAAATGATGTTCCCAATCTCATACGGTATTTTCAAAACTGGACTGGAACGATTGGTTCAATCGTTTATCGACTTGATCTCGTAGGGAAAAAAAATTTGACCAATATTGGCCGTTCAATTCGATCTCGATTGATCCGAGTCTATAACTACGAGTCAAATACACGACTTTAAATCAATACGATTTGAAGAAGTGTAGGTTTAATTAGTGATCAATGGTAACTTTTCCTCCTTCTAGAAACTTGATTTCACATTTCATATCCATGGTTAGGGGTCTGTTTGGTAACCGGCCAAATAGTACTTGATTCTATTCTTTTGTTCCCAAGAACAAAAAAAAGAACAGAAATACGTTTGATAAATATTTTATTTCCGAGTACAAATTTGTTCTCAGAATCAGTTTTGGAACAGAATCAAAAATAAAAAAAAAGTCGATTATGGGAACAAGAATAAGAAATGGAAAATAAATTTTTTATTTTTTATCTTCTTATTCTTCTTTCCTAACATGTGGCTAGTGGCCGGCGACCAGCCACAGGCCAGGGCTGACGAGGGTGACCCTCGCCCAAGCCGCGAGCCGCCCTCGCCAGATTTGGCGAGGGCTGGACCCTCGTCGGATCAGGCAAGGGCAGCTTGCGGCTTGGGTGAAGGCGGCAGCAAGGGTCCAACCCTCACTGGCCCTGGCCTATGGCGAGTCGCCGGCGTTGGCGACCTGGCCATGGGCCAAGGAACGAGAAGAAAAAAAGACAAAAGAAAAAAAAGGCAAAAAAGAGAAAGAAATATTAAAAAGTTCAAAATATTATTAATAAAATGAAATTTTGTGCAGCTATCAAACGCATTTTTGTTCCTTTTCTATTCAAAGAATATAAATTTTTGGCAGTTACTAAACGCTTTCAAATACTTAGAAATTATTTTCAGGAATAGAATAAAAAAAAATCATTTCTGAGCAGAAATTATTTTCGGAAACAGAATGGTTACTAAACGCACCATAAGTGTACTGGATCCTTAATCAGCAAACTACGTAATAGAGCAGAAGAATTCAAATCGATTGAAATTTACTAGAGTCGATAATTCAACGTTAAAACAAGATATTCGAATGTGCCGCGATGATACTTGTAAATGAAGTAATAAAGCTTATGCAACTCTCTTGTTTCCAATTATGAAATATTTTAAGATAGCACTTTTAATTTATATCTTGCTTTACTCAAAAAAGTCATTTACCTTAGCGTGACTACAAGTTCACGTATTTATTTACTAAAAATAGATTAAATAAATTTAAATCATAATAACAAGATGGGTGGGCCTGGCTCGACAGAGTTGGATTGGGCCTATTAATTGAATCTACCCTAACGTTGCCGATATTCAAACAGAACGGGAAAAAGTACAAAAGAAGTCATAAATCTATTGTATTGATGTCAATTCAGTCGCAAACATTTTAATTTAACCAATTTAATCCCAAACATTTTCACGTTTTGCCAATTGAGTTTATCTGGCCAATTTAAGTCGGAAAGTTGTTCACGTGGATGCCGGTTATCCTAAGTGGTACGATTGGCGCTGACATAAACATTTTTTTTTCTTTTTTTTGTTCCTTGGCCTTTGCTGATGGGCGGTCAGGGTTGCCCTCGCCCAAGCGAGGCTGACCCTTGCTCAACCGAGGCTAGCCCTCACCGGCCATGGCTTGTGTGGTGGCCAAGTCAGCTAACCATGCCGCGTAGGGTGCGGCCGGCGTTCACGTTAGTGATTGTCAGCCTAAATTGGCCGGATGGATTCAATTGGCAAAACGTGAAAATGTTTACGGCTAAATTGATCCAATTGAAAGGTTTAGACTTGAATTGGTACAAATGCAATATATTTAAGACTTTTTTCTTTTATACTTCCCCCAATAGAATGTCGTATTTTTTATAAAAAAACTCGTGGTGACGAGACGTCACATGTCACGTCGTCGATTGACATCTTATCAAGCTGAAAATCGCCTTCTGGGATGGATAGACAACGGGTGCATCATAGCTAGTCAATATGGAATTAGACAGTCAAGATCTTCATTTCGTTTGGCCATTAGAAGTGCCCGAAAGACATTCAATCTTTTTGAACTTATATATAGAAATAGAAGTGGCATTACTAGTCATTGACAAACTTTTTAACAAAGTTAATGGGCCAAGTGAAGTAACGATTACTAAAGTTACTAGAAACGGGTCCAATTGGGCTTTTGCTTTTCAAAGCCCAACTAGATACGGGCCTCAATGTGTCTCGAGTAAACTTAGGGTCCGGTTTTTTTTTGTCAAAAACTTAGGCTCCGTTTATTCATTAGGTAATTATTTTTCGAATAATCTATTTTTCGTAAAACAAATAGAGCCTTATTTCTAATTTACTACTCGTCGGATCTCTCATTCTTATGCATTTTTTAAGTTACTTAGTGAATTCATCCTTTTTTTTTTCCCTCTATTAAACTGAATCTTAAAATTTTAAAAATCTCTTTAGACAACATAAGCAGCCGCATCCATTATAATTAACTCTATCAGTAAGTTCGGCAAAGATGAAGTTATTTTAGTTTCATTTTTCATTTGTAATAAAAATCGAATAAGGACAATTCCGCCAAAATCCTAAACTTTTCCTCGTGGGATATCATTACCCAAAACTTTTTTTTCCTCCCTATCTCACCGCTACCCTTAAAGCTTGTACCAATAACCCAAAAGTACCTCCTCTCCATATGGCCGTTGGAAATCCGACTCAGCAGCATGTGTGGCCGTTTAAAACTGGCGCGGCGGCAACGCTCTCAGTTTTTTCTTATCCATTGCTACGTCGGATCTGTTTGCACAACGTTATTTATGATAGTCACCATTTCGAGTCATTGACCTTAATTATGGATAGAAAATCTAACGGAAGGTATTTTTCGGGTCACTGACGGGAAAAAATTTAGGTATCAACAATCCCGAGGGAGGGGAAAATATTAACATTTTTGGTGGGAATAATCTGAAAAAATTAAATCAGTTACCATATTTCAGGCCCAAGAAATGAAATCAGATGATAACCAAAATACACAGGTCGGGCTTTTATATATATTACGTCACAAATCGCAATGGATCCGACAAGACGATTCCTCCTGCGTCTCTGCTTCTTCTTCTTCTTCTTCCTCGCTTCGCTTCCTTGGTCCGTCGATCGAAATGCCCGCTTCGAATTCGCTCCCACCCTCATCATCATCTCCATCTCCATCGTCGGAGGCTCCATGAGCTTCCGTTTCTTCCCCTCCACGCGCCGTTCCGTCGGTCGCCGAGGACGCGCGCCTCCGTTCTCCGGCGTGATCGCCCGAATCCGGGTCGCTGGCGGACCGTAATCGAGGTAAAGCGGATGTGGGTGTCTCTTCTTTCGGCTTTTCTTGGGCAATCTGTGTTGGGAATTGAAGGTTTTTGAGGGATGACGCGCCGAGGAGCTGAATTCTTTCCGGACGAGGTCGTCATTCAGATTCTTTCCCGATTGCCCATCAAGTCTCTGTTCAGGGCAAGGACCGTGTGCAAGCTCTGGCACAGGTTGTTGTCGGAGGATTACTTTGTCCGCCTCTACAATGAAGTGTCCGTTAGGGACTCCATGGTGGTGGTGGAGGTCTCCGAGTCGTTGGACTCGGTGCCGACCTTCATTTGCGTCGATAGCTCGAGGGGTGTCTCTGACTTTTCTCTCGGTTTCTTGAACGATAGAGTTAAGGTCAGGGCCTCGTGTAATGGCCTGCTTTGTTGCTCGAGCATTCCTGATAAGGGTGTTCACTATGTCTGCAATCCGGTGACTAGGGAGTTTAGGTTGCTCCCGAGGAGGGAGAGGGCGATGAATAGGTTTCATCCCGACGGCGAGGCTACCCTGGTGGGTTTGGCTTGCGATTTGTCTGTGCAGACTTTCAGCGTTGTGCTGGCGGGTTACCACCGGACTTTTGGCCACCGGCCTGATGGAACGTTCATTTGTTTCGTCTATGATTCGGAGTCGAACAGGTGGAGGAGGATCGTCTCGTTTCAAGAAGATCATTTCACGCATATGAGCAGGAACCAGGTCGTGTTCGTTAACGGCGCCCTTCACTGGTTGACGGGTAGCTCCTCGTATATTCTTGTACTCGATTTGCATTACGACATCTGGAGGAAAATATCCTTGCCGGAGCAGCTGAGTTGTGGGGCAGGGAGTAGGATTTATCTGTTAGAGCTGGATGGGAGCTTATCGATAATTCAGATCTTACAGGGCTGGATGATCATTTGGGCGTTGAAAGATTACGTGATGGAGAATTGGCAAGTGGTGGATAGGGTTAGTCTGAGATGCATCCGAGGCTTGGTGCCGGGCATTTTTCCGATAAGTCAGACGAGTGAATATTTATTTTTGGCCACTCATAAGCAGGTGTTGGTGTATCAACGAAAGAGAAGAGTGTGGAAAGAGATGTACTCTGTGAAGAACGGGTCGACACTCCCCTTGTGGTTTTCAGCCCATGCTTTTCGCAGTGCGATCTTCTCTTGTAAATGAGTTTGGTAGTTCTTTCCGTGAAAGTCTGTACATACTGGTTGCTGGTATTGATATTGAATCAGCTGTTCGTTGCGTGTGGAAATTTTTTCTATGATGATTCATATGTGGTTAGGCTGTGTGCCATATAAATCAACTAGTCTTTGACATTCTCTTTCGAATCATGTTTCACATTAGAGTTCAAGAAGGTTAATTACCTTTCAAGATGTGAGCTTGCTGTCAGTATGCTCTTAATTGGTGTCCTGGGACTATTAGAGCTAAAATACAATTTGTAGGTGGTGTTCAAATGTTTGGTTCACACAAATTTCCATGTTCAGCAACAGAAACCCTGCTATTATATGTATCCAGTATCATCATGTAAATGCTGGAAAGCATTATCATGTCGTGTGTTTAACTTTGACTGCATTTACAGTTCTTTCTTTGTGGTTGTTAAGGTGGCCGTGTCTGTCTTCCTTGTCTGTTTAAATTTGTTACTGCAGTTTGTTCTTTCTTACTTCATATAAATTTCAATGAGTGGTGTAACAATGTGTAATTTAGCTAATCTGTGCATAAACAGTTTATCTGGTAGCTAGTAGCTGCATGATAATGGTATGCCACAGGCCCACGACTCAGATTGGTTTCTACTTGCCATCATTTCATTTTGGAAGGTCACTCTCTTTCTGTCATGCTTCGATCGTAGTTCTTGCATGGCCATTTGTTTTATTACTAGTTGAAGAATGCCCTTTTGCTGCTTTCAGAAGACTTTCGATTAGCCCTTGAGTTTCTCCCTGGATTTGGATTCTGGAGGTGATCTGATCTCCATTTTTCTCTAGTTAATCCGAACGTGCATGCATAAGATTAGTGCATTTACTCTACTAGTTCATGGGAGAGTGAAAAAATGCAGAATGATAATTTTGGAGATCAGGGGTTGTCGCAGACGACAATGGCGCCTTCCCCATGCGCTAGATCACTCGGCGTCCCAGTGAGCCTTCCTTTATAGATGCAGAACGGTTATTTGAACTATGCTTGGTAAGCTAGGAGGATCGAACTTTCCTGTGTCATGTTCCAATGAACCAGAAGGAAATCACCTGCAGCTATTTCCGGCGAGTGCCTCCGGTTCGTTATCTCGTGGAAAGGCTGTTGCTGCTTGGATCGGGATGTCTGGTAGAAGTCGAATTGTTTTTCAATCTTTGAATTCCGCTCGGCTTCAAATTGTTAAGGGTTACACCGTAATTGCGAGAAGTCTGCACATGTAGCGGTGAATGGATTGTTGAGATTGGTGATTAAACAAGAGCATAGTAAAATCATAGTCTACTCACCTTAGGTCGACCCTAAGGAGACAATACCATAGTTTTGCCGTCTTGACGAAATTCTTAAGTTGCTGCCATTGATCCGGTCGAAAATATGATGGCCCGGATTGCTGTGAAACTATGATTTTGCCGCTTTTGTTATGAACTACTTTCAACAAAAACACCCGTCCGACGCTTGGTTATGGATCGGGCAAGATGGAAAATATGAAATTTCTCGCCTTTGGTCCTTTGAATTAGAAATTAATCACTAAAAAGATAAGCAAATGTGCACCAAGAAGAAAAGCTAAAGATGTGAGAATGTTTGAATAGAAAAAGGTTATCTTTCAGGGAAGAATAAGCCTAGAAAGGGGCTGAATGCCCTCATTGAAAGTACATTCTTCAAGCTAATTCTTCTCCCATCATTTTTTTTTATTAAAAAAATTATATGCAAGTTTTTATTCCTCTCTGAAAATAATAAAAAAATACGAATAAATAGAGCATCTCTTACAAAGTAGATTTATGGAAAAATCCTAGAAATGAAAGTCAAACGCGACGTCGGGCACCAGACGAAAGAGCCCTTTTGCCATTGAAAGTTGAAGCTAAAAAAGTTTGACTTTTTGAAACTTTTCTTTGTCCCACCGCTTTTTTATTTTTTTTATCATCGAATGCACTAAAGCTTGCATTCCTTTTCTTTTTGCTTTTTTTGCGATCAATGCATTTTTGTCGGAATCTAGTCAGCTATTCGGCGATTTTTTTTTTTTTTTGCTAGAATGCTATTCGGCGAATTGCTATCGTGGCATATTGTTTATTTCGGAGGTAGATAATTTCTTAATGAAAAACTTACATCGGGGGAACATAGTAATTTGTATGGATAGTAATAGCTATTCGAAAACCCCGGGAATGAGATGACATTCACAATATCCTATACGTTTTGGATAAATTCGAAACAAAGTCCAACTTACGAGGATGGGTTCGGGACGTGTCCCGTTAGCAATCTCAACTTTTCGAGGGGAATTGTTCTGAGTAGCAGTAATCCGATACAGGGCGATCGAACGATTACGTTGTTCCGGCGACCTACATTTCAATCCTTACATATCATTCGGGCTTTATTTGTCTTATTGAAATCGAACGATTTGGAAAATATTTTTTCTAGGAAGGATTTGCTTAGTATCAGTTTCAAATAACTAGCCGATGAAAAATGCCTCCATTCATTTATTCGCGTAAATTTCCAGGAAAACATTTTTTCAAGTCATGCAATAATTCCGACCCCAGGAAAAAAAAAGGGGAAATCATACTTGGAGACCCACGCGCCTCCCGGCGAGTGTCGTTGGCCCAGTCGCGGAGAGACCTTGTTTGTCTGTTTCCCTCTCCTCTCTCTCTCTCTCTCTCTCTCTCTAAGCAAGAACACAGCACAGCACGGAGACGGAATCATCAAACGCAGACCGGTTTTCGACAAAATGAACAACAGCACAGAGATTAGAACCTCCCCCCTCGCACCGCAGCTTCGATGACGGTGGAGAGGACGCGCCGCCGCGGAGGAGTAGGAGGAGGAGGAGGAGCAGCAGCAGCAGCAGCTGGGCCCCGCGTCCCTTCGGGTTCCCCTCTCCGGCGCCGCCATTTCTTCTAGGGTTTCTCGTTCCCCCGGCCCCCCCCGTGTTTCCCTCCCCTCCCTCCTCCGAATTGGGGGGCGGCGCCGCCGAGCTGGCCTCGAGGTACTTCCCCTTTGGGTGTTCCGGTTGGTGTTCGCTGGATGGGGTCGTCGCGTTCCGTGATTCTTGCACCCGATTGCCGGCTCGTTCGTTTGATTGCGTGCTCCTCCCGTTTTCTCGGGTGCCTGATTGCTCGATTCTAGCTGCGTTCCTGCTCGTTCTCGACCGTTTCGAGTGTAGTTTGGAGGTAAAGGGGGTTCGGGTGTTGTAATTCGTGATTTTAGTACGGGTGGTGCGTGCTGAATGTCGGAAAATGTTTCTGGGTGCGGCGGTGGTGTTGCTTCGCTTTTGATTTTCGTATCCAGCGGGGTTCTGTTAGCTGAATTACTGGGCTGAGTGTTCAAATTCGGAGCTTTTGCTATGCTTTCGGGGAAGTGAACTTTTTGGTTGTTGGGTCTTGAATTTGCACTTTTCTTTGCTTGGGAATGTGTTCAGTTCGATTCCGTTGAAAGTTCTTACCTATGTCTGTTGTTCCCCAGAGTAGTATTGGTTAAATAGCGGAAGCTTGCAACTTTTGTTATGCTAAGTGACTGTCGAGTCGCCTTTGGGTAACAGAGCTTACTTGGTGAAGTCGTTCTGACCTGTAATTCAGTTTGGAATTGGCTCCCCCCTGCTTCAAGTGATTTTGGAGGGTTTAGACCATGGATTTCTCAAAACTTCTAGCACCTTTGATTTTTTTTTCCCTTGCTTTTTTGTACTTATAACTGGAAGCTACTGCGTTGAAATTTAAAAAAAAAAACAATGTTACTGTGTTTTTAGGTCTTTATAGTTTGTAAAATTCATCTCTTTGGAAGGTATAAATTACGATTTTAGGTGCATAAACTTCTTGACCAAGCTTATCTTCAAGTTGTGGAGTGTGCTCTGTCATCGAGGTTGGCATCTTATTTTTCCTAAATGGTGATAGATAAGCTCTGACATCTGTTTTAATATGGGTGATGGTATTGCAGTAGAACACTTATCAGCATGGCAAGCCAACTTTGATTGATGGGGATGTATTAACTTGGTACCTAACCCAGGAAGAATCTCCTAGGATATTGACTCATGGCTAGGAAGGGCAATCAGCAGAAGAATGGGGTTAGTCGTTCCTCACAGAATGGCAAAAAGAAGGGTTCAGAAACACATCAAGAAAGAAGACAAGCTACTGACGTGAAGATTCCTCCTAAAGAGACAACTGTGAACAGTCATCACTCGAGCAATGCTTCGGCTGAGAGCATGAGTCAAGGAACTGGGAAACTAATGAGTATGGATAAACAAGGGACAGATGCAGCTCAGGGATTAGAGCACCCAGTTCTGTCTGGGGAATCTTCAGGGGATTATATTCAAAATGCATCTCCTATGGGCATGTCCCACGAGAGAGAACAAGGTGGACTAGATTGTGATAATAATTGTCAAAATAGCCGAAAAGGTGGCCTGGGCCACAAGCTGAATGGGCATATAACAAATCTAATAGAAAATGTCCACATATTTGACAATTTAGTTGTTAGAAATGTGAGAAGATCAGCTTTGTGTGTCCTAAAGGCAGCTGGAGAGTGGCTGGAGTCACAAAGACCTTTTGTCATTAATTTAAAAGGTGACATACTAAAGGCTCGTGACTATGTCAAAGTGAAGATTGAGCTGGCCTACCCGGTTGTTTTGAAATGGCTTGTATACTTTGGGAACATAATGTTTCTCTTATCAATGATTTGGTTGGATTGCACTCTTAGGGGAATCGATTCTTTCCTACGTATGGGGACTACATCTTTCTTTTCTATCATATGGTGTGGAATTTTCTCAGCTATCGCTATGGTCGGCATGCTAAAGTTTCTTGTGGTCTCGGTAAGTCACTCATCACTTTTTTCCTTTTAGGTCGAAAAGTCACTCATCACTTCACAAGCTACTTTTATTGACTTCCTATTGTATTGCTGGTTCAAGTTATCCTTTCCCATCCTGACATGACCTGTTACCCTGGATCCATTCATGTTTGTATGTCAATATTTCATCCTGAACTGAGCTTATAAATATGTGCAACTCCTCCTTCTTCCTGTCAAAGTAGAAGAAATCAAAATAAGCATAGAGTATTACCTGTTGTCACTTCCAAACTCCTTGGAGCCACGCGGTATTGTTGCTGGATTTTATCTAGTAAGATACAGATCCTCTTTTGTCTATGTTCCTAGAATTCATTCCTCAGTTACTCTTTCTGAAATGTTCAGAATAACTCTATTAAGCACACTTTGCTTCTGCTGCATTCCTTTTTACTGACTGAAGTTTGCATTCATTCAGGTGCTAGCTGTTCTTGTGGGTATTTTTGTGGGGTTTGCCGCTGCACTTTTGCTGCTTGCACTTTGTGGCACTGTCTTCTTGTGGTTTTATGGAAGTTTTTGGACAACAGCTCTTGTAATCATCCTTGCAGGTAATGGCTTCGAGGCTTTCTCTTAAGACTTAACTCGATGTCTGCTATTAATGTGCTTTTGAGTTTGTAAGCTTGCTTAGATCCAATATTCATGTACATGCAGGTATATCATTCACATTGAGCCATGAACGCCTTGCACTTTTCATATCAACGATCTATGCCGTGTACAGTGCTTGGGCATATGTTGGATGGATGAGCCTGCTTTTTGGTTTGAATTTGTCTTTCATCTCAAGCGACGCTCTCATATACTTCCTGAGGAATAATATACATCAGCCTCAGCGACCCAATGATCTACCCAAACAAGCAACTGGAATGCAAGGTCAACCGTTCAGCGAGGCATCGCATCCTTCATTCTCAGATGCTGCCCCTGGATTGTCGGCTGATCGTAATTCGGGAATACCTTCAACTAGTGGGGCTAATCCTGAAATAACTTCAGAAGATGAAGTTGTTCGGTTGTTGAGTTGTTCTGATCACTATGCAGCACTGGGCATCAATCGTTATGAGAATGTAGATGCTTCTTTGCTCAAGAGGGAATATAGGAAAAAGGTACTCTCTCTCTCTCTCTCTCTGACGCCCAACTCACTCACCCACACACAGATAACTACCCAGACACGCCCCACACCCAGACTCGTACACGAAATAAGTGCATGTTCAAATAAATGGCATGAGAAGTAACTCTTCTACAAAGCATTAAAACTGCCCTCATTCCTTGCCCCTGGAACAGTGGGCTACCTCTCAATTGCTTTTAATAATTGCATAATGCTCTGTAAAAGTTGACTCAACGAAAGATCTCTGTCTCATAAGTCAGATGGCCAACGCGTAAGATGTATAAAACAAATGTTACACCGCGACCATGTATCTTTTTTCAAATACCGGCGCAACTCGTATTTTGAGAGTTCCATGGTTCAAACTTTCCCTTCTGGCCCTTTCTTTGTATAGGCTTTATAATTGTCATTTATTCTTTAGAAGAGACTTGAAGTTCAATGTCATACGAAATCTAATAATTGCTGGATCTGATAAAACTGGCAGAGAAAACTGAAATTTTATTGAAATGTAAAGTTATGCGTGTGCTTTCAGAATAATGCGAAGGTAAAATAATTTATTATAACAGTAAGTATCTAGAAAAATGCCATCAGTTTGATCTGAGCTACAATACCTCCTCAGCAGAAAAGACACGGGGAAGTAATCCGCTTAATAATGAAAAGATGTGGACAAATACTTCAAAGAAGATCTTGAGTACTTGGATAATATAGAGGATTTAATTCTAAAGATCTTGAGTACTTGGAAATATGATGTGGCCAACAAGATCAAACAATTTGATACCTGTTAATATCGCTGTTTTTATCAAGTATTGGCGGGGATGGATTGTTGGGTCACTGTGCAACTCGAAGAAGAGCTTAATTGGATTAGGATTCTCCTGATTGAATACAATCCTGTGTATTAGGATTTGAGTTGAACTCTATTATGATTTCAAAAAGTTCTCTTTTTTGTTTGGAGATAACATTTTTCTTATATCTATGTGAAGTAGGATTTATGTGTTCTATTCAAGTGTCCTAGTTCAATTTGGAGTAGAATTTCGTAAGTTTGTCTTTACGCATGTAATTTGCTTTTTATTTGAGAATGAGTGAAGGATATCGAACTTTAGCAAGTCTTTGCTTTGAATTATATGATATGATGAGATCGTTATCGTAAATTTGATGCTTGAGAAACCCTTAGTGCGATGTGTAGGAAGTTTAGGTGTATGCCTAAAGGAACTTACTCATTTTGAGTTATCTTTTGTTCTGAGTTCTCTTCACGTTCTCAATCAATTTCTCTCACCACTTTGCGACTCATCGTCCAACGTCAGTATGATAGAGGATTCAATACTAAAGAGGGCGCTATGGAGTAAAATAATCTAGGTACCCATCTCTACTCGCAGAAAAGGCTTGCTTGCTTCTTGTTCGGGTTCTAGGCCAATGCTTATTCCTTTGTGAATTATGAGAGGCTTACTGGCCTAATTCAGTAAATCTCAGGCTGAAAGTTGTGTTATTTTGTAAAATTTTTACTTGTCATGTGAAATGATTCTTGTTTATCTAAATGTCTGGCATTTTGATGAAGGAAGAGAAAGGTATATTTGACTAAATTAAGTTCCTTCTGATTGGTTTAGGCAATGCTGGTCCATCCCGATAAAAATCAGGGAAATGAGAAGGCAGCAGAGGCTTTTAAAAAGCTTCAAAATGCATATGAGGTATAGTTGGTTTTTCTTCCAAAACTACAAATCATGCGAATAACAGATATTGGATTTAATTGATTGAGATATGTGATCTATACTAACTTATATAGCTATACCTCTTACCCTTCTTCAAGGTTTTACTCGACTCTGTAAAGCGAAAAGCTTATGATGACGAGTTAAGGAGGGAGGAGCTGCTAAACTGCCTCCGTAGGTTTCAAAGTTCTTCTCAAAAGGTATTCTTTTGCATCTCTCTCTATCTCTCACACATCTTATTACAAGAAAATAAGAAAGTTGACTTGATTCCTCTTTTCTGGGTTGCCCGAAGTACGTGCCTCTCTCATGTAGTAATCTGAAAGTTATTTTAATTCTTGAGCATTTGGAATGCAATACGAAATTTGGTGAACAGACTAGCAATAGATGCAACAACGACAGAGTTTCTGTCTCAGACAGCCCAGGACACTACAATTTGCCTTGGTTCTGGCTTGCATTCTTTCGAAGGTCTGGATCAGGGGTTAGGTTTCAGTTTACACTGACAATTTGGAGTAATTGAGGCGTTGTGTTCTTTGAATGAATGAGGTCTGTTTAGCCACTGATTTACAACCGAGATCTTGTTATGAAAGTTAGTGTGCACCCTTGGGCATGTAACTGTTGAGAGAGGGGAGGATGGAGGGTGGATATGTTGAAGTTTGTGGGTCTTGAGACTGTAAAAAGTGGTCTCCTGTTTTATCATACTAAAAGCAACTAATTCTCAGAATGGAGGTCATGGTCTCTTCTCCTCTGGATTTGCTCACTCAGAGACCGACGGTGAAGTTCCTTTGAGAGATTCGAGGCGAATAGCCTGCAAAAAGTGCAACGGCTTTCATCTCTGGTTGCAAACTAGAAAGTTAAAAGCACAAGCAAGATGGTGCCAGGTATTCCCTTGCCGTCTGAATTTGGTCGTGCTTTTGATGTATTATATGTTTCTCATGTCATTGACCATATTGGCATGGTGCAAGAGCAAGACTTTGTTAAGCTCTCTTTAAAAGTCAGTGCCGTGCTGTATTGTTGGCGTGAAGAATGTTCTCCTTCGATATTTACGTTTCCTTTGTCTTGTCTAAGGACTGTAAGGAGTTCCATCCGGCAAAAGATGGAGATGGATGGGTGGAGCAATCTTCTCAACCCTTACTTTTTGGGCTATTGCAGAAGGTATTTGTTAACTCTTAAATTGAACCAATGAAGGTTTCCTACACCAATTATATCTTGCTTTATTGAATGTTCTGCCAGTTGTCCTCTCATTATGCAGTTAAATGGTTTATTTCATAAATTATTTAGAACTGAGAAGGCCTGATCATAATGTCTGCGTTGATGAAGTGGATTGATCCTACTGATGGTGATGATTGTCCATGCAGATGAATGCTCCTGTTGCGTTTGTTTGTGCTGATGGCAGAATTTATGATGCCTCAGAATGGTATATCTGCCAGGTAAAGTAATGTGTCCCCATAGTCTTTTCTTTCCTCCTTTTTGTGCTTTAACCCAAATCTTCTCTAGACGGTCAATGAGTTTTATGTTTACTCGAAGTGTTTCTGGTGCATCTACTTATATTCGTGTGGATAATTTGGGTAAAAAATTCATTATAATGCTTCTTCTACCACTGTTGGCATGCGTTGCCTCTGAAAAAAATCAACCTATAATATAATATCTTTTTGAGTAAGTTATGGTGACCCTTCCGATGCTTCATGAAGATATGAAAACATCTTTTCTAAGGTGGGCGTGAAATGAGTTTGTATCCCTTTCTTTTCCTTGGCTTACTATACTTGGCTCTTAAAATTTAGTAAATTTTGTCCAATGCCATAATATCTTACCAAAACTGCCTCGTGAACATTTCTGTAGAAAGGATTCCCATGTAGCACAGGAGAAACTACATTAAGTCTCACCTGCACAGTGTTTATGATTATATACCCATGCAAATTTTGACTTATGTAATGTCAACCCCAGTTTCTGTGCTTGTTGATCTAAATCCAACAGAATAAGAGGAATAAAAAGAGCTTGATCATTTACTTGAAGGAAAAAGAATTCTTCATTTCCTCTCTTTTTTTTATATATCTGTTATTATTATTTTTATCTCTTTGGATTTGGGGGGGAGGGTGGGGGCCTCTCAAGTGATGCATTCAACCCATTATGAGATCATTATTTTATTTGAGGGATAAGTTAAAGTTGGTCAATATTTTACATGAATTGCTTGTTGTTCTTAAACTATTTGGAAGTACGTCCTCTTATATGCGACCATATACCATCAATATTAGCCTAGTGCTGCAGAACATGAGCTTATTCTCGGTGGCGATATGGACTACAATTTCTATTTTCAGACGCTATTTCTGCAGGGGACTCTAGTAGTGCCTATTGTGACAATAATGATTATGATTCTAAAACGTTGCTGCAGGGAATGAGGTGCGCACCCAATACACACAAGCCGAGCTTTCACGTGAACACGAGTGTGACTGCAAAGCATAATGCTGGGAAGGGAACTGCTTCTGGACAAAGGGGCGGTCGAGTTCCAGGATCTAATGTTGAGGAGACCATGACAGAAGAAGAATTCTTGGAGTGGTTGCAGAATGCAGTGCAGGCTGGCGTTTTCGACAATTTCAGCAGCGCCTATGCGGAGAACCAATCTCCAGGGGGCGGAAGTAGCTCCAAGAGCAGCTTCAGCGGCAGTGGCAACAGTAGTGGCGGTAAGAAGAAGAAAAAGGGGAAGAAACAGTGGTAAGCAAAACCAATTTGGTAGATTGTGAGCAATCTTTAGCCTAAAGTTGGAGATGAAGCTTCTTATTTTTGGGGATGGTCAAGGGTTAAGGAGAGTTTAATCTGAGTTGAGCAGTATCCGAAGCATGGGCATAACTGCGACATTAAGCAGGACCTTTCGATTAGCAGGAGAGGTTGTATAGCATTTTCTTTTTAATATTGTTCTTTTTCCTAATCTTGCTTCATCAGTGAAATTAGCTGCGAGTTAGACGAGGGGGAGGTTCGACGATATTGTATCGTTAGGAAGTGAAGGCGCCTGGCTGTGATTTTCACCTGGACATGGCTATTTCTTGAATGAGTAATTATGAAATATGGAAGTAGTTGCTGGAGAATATTTAGTGAAAAACCAAAGTCCAGGAGGAATACATGGTCATTGGCAGGATTATCCTGATTGAGTGAAAGGAAAGATTAAGGTCATCTCGCTTAGGAGTTGGCGTTAGCCACTCCTAATGTGAATAAACTGAAAAGAGGTTTAACTAGGAAGTGGCATTGTTATAAGAATTCTCTACTATTTCATCTCATTAGCAAGGTAATGCTAATTATACTATGATTTGAACAGAATAACATCCATTACTTATGTAAAGGTCGATTGTCTTCCCAACGTCTTACGTTCACGCACAATGCAATGCTACCTTTTCAAGGAAAACCGAAATCACCTCATTCAACCCTCTTCTAGCCACCTGCCCCCGGGGCACTGGACGACACCACCACGGACTGAGCTCCACCGCCGACACCAATCTCGACCAATGCCACCTCTGCCCAGCCACCGCAACAAATTTCGGCCCAACCTACACCACCATGACCACCGGATCTTGAGCAGCAATGCCACACTCGAATTGAGCGTCACCAGGTCTCGAGTAATAGTACTATGAAAGTGACTCGAATTGAGCGTCACCAGGTCTCGAGTAATAGTACTATGAAATTGACTGAGAACTAACATCGCCCGACAAATCGTATTGTATCGCCAGCACTATACTCGACCACGACCAGCACCTTCACTTCTAAGAGAGAGAGATTTGCTGAGTTGGGGAGAAAGAGATGGGATGGTTTACGTCATAATAGATCATTGTTGAATTGGTTAACCATCTCAATTGACAAAAACAATCGAGAAAATCCTTGCCAGTGAAAATGCTTGCAATCGAGATTTTGTATGAAAAATTCGAATTGCAAAAAAAAAAAAAAAGCTGTTAAGGAATTGTAGGCTAAGTAATGTATTCTATTTGAGAATACATAGCAAGATAATTTAAATTATAGTTGCATGAGGTTCTATGAATATATGAGGTAAAAGTATGAGTTTGAACTTGTACTTTTCTTTAATGTTTAAACAGAAGCAAAAAGCATTTTGTTTACTCAAAAGTAAAAAGTTTAACCAAAATTCCAGTATGGAAAACTTATGAGTTTTTTAAAGAATCTTTTATACATTCCACATTTGGATGACACGTATACTCAGAGATAGTTATGCAAGCGAATACATTTTACATCGGCAGTGCGCGTAATAATAATCCGAAAATTACACGCGATTTTGGGGGGTCAAAATTCATATTTTATGAAAGTATAGGGGCCTTTGTGCAAGTCACTGGGAAACGAACGGAAAGTTTGCAAGGTTTGTCCTTTTTGTCCCGCTTTTCTGATAAGCCTCTCTTCTTCCTTCCCCTTGCCTGGCTTTTGCTCCTCCAAAAGCTAAAAACCTCGATGGAGTTCGCTCTCCAGTCGTCTTCTTCTTCCTGTTCGTCTTCGCAGCTTTCCTCAACCATCCCTAAATTTGTAATCCCAGATCGTTTCTCTTGGAAAAGGAGCCACTGCCCAGCTTTTCTGAACGTGTCATCGTCGTCATCATCTCCTTCTTCGTGGTCTCTGTGTAGTATAAACTGCTTGCCTGTTGGCACCCGAAAATCCGTGACTGTCGGTGCTAAGAAGAGAGACAAGGATGGGAAGAAAGGCTCGGACGGCTATCTGTTTGGACCCGACGAGAGCACTGGGCTGTTCCCTGAGGCAGTGCTGCTCAAGGAGGTCCCGCTCTTCCATTTCTTTTCGTTTTCGTTTTCGTTTTTTTTGAGGTGTGCAAGCTGATTTTGATGTTTTGGAATCTGGGTCTTTTGCGTCTTGGTCGGAACTTTATCCTGTCCATTTTTCGGGACTTTATGTTGCGAGAGGAATGGTGTAGAACAGAATGAGCCTGAAGAATGTTGGGTGTATGTGGTCTTTGTGTATGGTGTTGTTGTTGCTGTAACTTTTGGTGTTCTTGAAATGTTTGCGAGCACATTTCTGTGAGAAACTGTAGCGTCTATTCACTCTAAATTGGAGAGCATGTTCATTCAACTGGATTTTAGGGTGAAAAGCACATGTTGTTAGCAAAGAATCTAATATATTTTGCCCCCTAATTGAATCAACTTATAGGACAAGGAGAAGCCAAACATCATCTGAGTTTTACCAGCTTCCCGATGGCTGTAAGGAGCAAAATCTGTACATTCTTGATTAAATTGAGTAGGAAAAGGAAAGACAAAAAAGGGTTTGGTACTGCTTTTCAGTCTCTCCAGTTTTCAATGTCGGTGCAACAATAATTGGTCACAAGTCCTTTCGATTTTGCGTGGCCGTGCTTTGAAATTACCTGTCTTATCTCTAAAATTTATGCAATGTGATATTGTTGCATATGATTGAGGATCTTCTCACGTTAATTTTCTTCTTGGATTTCAGAAAAAGGTACAGGAAGATGGTAAACTTATACCTGAGTTTGCCGATGCAGAAGAGAGTATGTAACTTACAGGTTTTTTTTCCCTAGTTGTGGATAATGAAACTACTCTGCGTACTTGTTACTTGACAAGAGTACTTGTTGTTTTGCAGAGGAGCTTTTTGAATATCTGAACCTTCAGATGGAAAGCAACTTAAAAGTTACAGAAAGTAAGCAATTCACTTCAATTAAAGCCCCTTCTACCAAAATATAGAAGCTCATACTTCTGCAGCTTTTGTTGAGTAAATCATGTAGTTTGTAGGCCTGGCACTTCTAGAGTTGCTGACAGTTTCATATACTCTATTCGAAGTCTGGTGTTTGTGCCCTTTTTTTATTTATTCCATTAGTAGTTAACTGAAGCTCATTGTATTATTAGGGACATTCGCGATGATTAATGTTTCACTCTAGAGCTTGTAGGAGGATTTGCCCCCTGCGGAGATTTATCTGTTGAGATGCAATATCCGAAGTATGCAGTATATATAGATAGGGAGACTGCTGCTCTTGTTAAAATAGAGAGATGCTTCTCCTCCTGTTTAGTTTAAAGAATCTGGAGACAAAAAAGATAGAATAACTGCTGTTAACAAAGTTGAAGTTATTTGCATGGATGATGATCATCAAACAAAGGAAAAGATATAAGGCTCATGTTCGCCGAGCTCTTTTTTTTTGAAGTTTTTCTTTCATCAGATCTTCTCAGTGCTATCTTTAACTTTGGGTACAGTGCGCCACTACGAAGTGGTTTATCTAATCCATGAGAAGCATGTGGAGGAGGTTGGGAGTGTAAATCAAAAAGTTGAAGGTGATTTCTACCTCTCCATCTTTATCATTTTTAACTTAGTGGCAATCCTACATTTGTTATGTTCACAAATTAGAGCAGGATGTCTCTCAGCCACCTAATTGATAGAATTGGTTCACCTATGACTGGTAATCCGTTTTGATCCTTCGATGTGTTATAGGCAGTTGCACCATCAATTTTTGTTGAACTTGTTTTGGTTCTCTTGAGGTTTCATCTAAGTCAAGTACATTGGCTTGCACTCCGCTTTCATTAACTAATATCTACGACCTTTTACTTTAGCTACCTGTGAGCTAACAGTGTAGGCAACTTCCTGGAATTTTTCTTTTTCAGGGAAAAATCCTCAGCTGAGGGTATCGCAAAAATTTCCAGGGTTATTACTTCTGGTACTAGAACAGTGATTTGTTTATGACTAAATCTGAAATGAAACTTAGCCCTTCTTTGTGGTGGACATGGTGGAAAATCAAGTGCCATGATGCATGTGGATCTATTTAAAGGTGCATGAGTGCCTTACAAAAAGTTTGTGAAGCTGTGAGACCTTTGTTGCAGATTTCCTACAGGAGAAGAAGGGCAAAGTATGGAGATTTGAGAACTGGGGTCTTCGTAGACTCGCATACAAGATAAGAAAGGCTAAGTATGCCCATTACATTCTAATGAACTTCGAATTGGAAGGGAAATGGATCAATGATTTTAAGACCATGTTGGATAAGGACGAGAGGGTCATCCGACATCTTGTGATGAAGAGAGACAAGGCGATTACAGAAGTTCTCCCTCCTCCGCCTGAATTCCACAAACTCCGCGGTGGCATTGATGATGGTGAAGATGAAATGGATGATTTTGAAGATGAAGAAGAAGATGAGGAGGAGGAGAGCTGGGATGTAGAGGATGAAATGGATGACTATGGAGATGAGGAAGAAGATGGCATTATTATGGTCAATAGTGATGAAGATGAAGGAGAAACTAAGAGCAGCGAATCACCTTCTCCAGTTAAAAAAGGGAAAAGTAGATCAAGAGCAGAGAAAGTTCTGAGGTAGTTTCAAGTTCTCATTACAGCCTCATTTTGGACTTGAGAGAGAAAATTAGGCCTGTCTTTCTTTTTTCCTTTTCCCGGGTACATTACCTGGAAGTCTATCCTATACCGAAGGCACAATATTTGGACCGCAAAAAAACATGAATTCTTGTCACAGCTTCTTTTCGTGTCTTTTGTTGTCTGAAGTTACAGATTCTGAGGTGAAATTTTGGGATATATGCATACTTCAGTCCTATTTGTACGGGGCAAAAATGGTATCCCTCTGTTCTAGGAGTAGAAGCAGTGAGGTGCTTGGTTTGTAAGTTTGATGGATCCCTGTAATTGGCCACTGTGAATTGACAGCAATATTTTAAAGCAGCTGAACTTGCTTGGTTTCATTTTTCATTATGTGTGATGTCTGAAGACATCCAAAGCCTCTCTTTTCTACATGGCGTCGCATCAGCTCTACAAGTGCATCATGCCTCTCCAGACCATGGATGTGAACATTCGTTGCATCTTTCTTCTTAGTTTCGTCATTTAACGCGCATGAAGATCAACATCAACATTAAAGAAATATCAAGAGATTGCCAAAATATAGCTATGTGTGCCTTGTAGATGATCTTAGCTGGATCTGCTTAATTGCTCTCGGATTCTTCGATTCATCCTTCATTATCTCATTCTCACTCTGAGATTTGCCACAAAAACTGTTCCAGGTATGTATCTTTCTGCCCCGATGCTATACACTTCTTGTCTTCCATAGCATTTGACATGTCTGGGGAACTACATAGGCTCCGTTTGGTTCAGCATTTGGAATGCTCATTTGGGCTCTAAAGTCCCTTGGCCAAATGCAAATGGTGTTTGACAACTTTTTTTACTCACTTTGGGGAGATGCAATTGCATTTGAAATACTCGCCAAGGGACTTTTGGCCAATGCAAGGGTGGAGATGCTTTGAGAAGTTGCATTTTCAGAATGCAACTTGAATTGTTCATCGCTACTGTTCATCTTCCCCAGAGGCAAGTCCAGCGGCCAGCGATCGCCGCCTGATGGCTAGCCTGACCCCGGCGACCATCGCCTGGGGGTCGCGCAACCCCCAAGAGGCGGTCGCCTGAGGGTTGCGCAACCCAGGCAATGCCTGAGGTCCGACGACCCCACGCGGCGGTTGCTGGGGTTGCGCAACCCCGGGCGGCAGTGGCTGGCGACCAAATCTGGCTGTCGATGGTTGGTCGGCGATCAGATCTGGCCGGCAGCGGCAGCCGATGGTTAAGCTCGACCGAAGCTTTTTTTATTTTATTTTAAATATTAGCAAAAATCCTTTAGCCCAAGTTGATTTTAAAAAACACTTAAAAAAAAATATTAGCAAAAGTCCTTTAGCTCAAGTTGATTTTAAAAAACACTTAAAAAAAATATTAGCAAAAGTCCTTTAGCCCAAGTTGATTTTAAAAAACACTTACCAAACACTACTTGCATTTTAGAAAATCCCTTTAGCCCAAAGATATTTGCATTCTCCCAAATACATTCCCCCGTAGTCGAACCAAACGGGCCATAATTGGTCATTTCACTAGGAATCAATGGTCGTTTTATTGCAACATCTGTTCAGCGCATGTAAAAACCTGCACCACTTTTACGCTTCTTTTACGTCATGTATCATTCAATGGACAACCATTCCATGGTGGGCAGCGCTGACTGCCCACCATGCCCCTTCAATAGAAAGGGCCTCTAAATCCTTGCTAGATAGTTGTGGCCCCTAAAGACCACCAAACTTGACGTAGCTCTTGCACAAGACATTGATTTCGGGCTTCGGCATGGTGATCTACAGTAAGAACTAAGAATTTAAGACTTTCCGCTGTATGAACTTGGGATTCATATGATTTATTTGCTCGAAGTACAAGAGCAATGCAGCTTTACCAAAACTTCGTTCCTTATCCCTGGTTATTGTCGTCTACATCTTCATCGGAGTCGGGCCTTCTTGGAGAAAAGTCAGGTTTGTTTGTATTTTTAGAATCACAATCCTTGTTAAGCAAGGGACTAGTGCGTGCGTCTCTGTCTTTAACCGAAGCCCAATTTCTAGAAGACACCTAAGAGCAGCAGTAATCACTTCCTTTCTCATCTCTTTAAAAGAAACAAGCCTACATCAAGAGAACATTACTAATTTGCATTAAAATGATACCACGAGCAACAATAGAACCAAGTACATGAAGCCTTAAATATAGCAGACCGCAAATATCAGATGCGACTGTCTGAGAATGCTCCAATAACTGATGAAAAAATATCCCCCTGATTATTTGCAGCAGCCTGAGGACATTCCCCATCCCGAGAACTACGCAATCTTCTTCTTCGGTCTCCTGCCCCACACAGGAAGAAACAAGACATTCAGAAAAATAAACCGCGAATTCTTCCAGTGGCAATCGCATTGAATACAGATTGAATCTAAGAGTTCCATTTTTTTTTTAATAGAAATCGGTCTGTGGTAGCTAATCTATCAAAGAAAGCTATTAAGAAATAAAACAAAATGTTGTTGGAACGCGGGAAATACACACCAAAATGCTCCATTTAATATCCGTGATCTCCGCCAAATTGCATTCTCCATGCTCTTCCTACAGAGAAATTTCCATCTGATGATGAAGACCTGACAATTCTATCAAGCATAGAAGCATTCACCATAAGAAAACCGTAAAAAATCTATACTCTTTGCAAACTGGTAAACGCAAGTTTCATTCACAAGCTACAATTATCTCCTAGAACACATCAAGGAGGGTAAAGTTCATGACGGTAAGACATGGTATTGGAAAGAAAAGAGGACAAGGCACATACACGGGCAGACAAGAAAACTATTGTCACCTGGAAACAACTATCATTTCTTTCTTATCAAGCTACTATCACCATCATCGGCTGCTTCAAATGCAGTCAATCATGAACCGGCAAACACATGCAAAGGAATCATCACTGTTCATGTATATTTCGATCGAGATCTACAGTTACATTCATACATGAGAAGGAGATCTTTGAACAATTCCATGTTAAATTTCAGAATTTGGAATTCATATATTGATATTGAAAGAAAGCACAAGTGCATAAAAATATCAGACATCTCAGGCAAAATTGCCAAACGAAGGAGGGATTTATAACACCATCAGGTGAGAAAGCTTGCTGCCAGAAAACACAGATTTCCTCAGTCCTTGAGACTGAAGTAAGACCCCTGAAATAAGATCATAGCACGATTAAGCAGGCACCTCATCTGCCTAAATACATATTCTCACAAAATACTAAGCTAAGCAGAAATGAAGGTAAATAAATCTTATTCAGAGAGCAAAGCATGAAAGATAAAAAAAAAATGGAAAAGGGGACAAGGAGACCGCACCGACAAGATAGATATACACAACATTCAAGAAATTACATTTAAGGCTACTAGATTAAAGCACAGTTACTTGATCAGCATAGGAGTTCGTTCATTTTCTGATAGATAGGTAAGTTTCAGACAATAAGCAGGTGAACTAATCCTTTTCTAATAACAAAAAGGTGGACTAATCCTGCTCAAGCTCCAGAAATTCACATCATATATCAATCCCCACAATTTCTATATATATGATAGAGAGGCAAGTGATTCTACAAGGAAAGTTCATCCTAACCACTAATCTGAAGTTTTAGACCAGCTTTAATACTTTGAACTAGGACATTTACACCAAGAACAAAATTAGTATTATGTAGTTTAGCTTCCTAATACACATTAAATGATATTACTAAAGCATTCCAACAAAGGTTAAAGAGGGCACTGCAGAGAATTCCCTTTGAAACTGGATACATTCCAATTGTATTCAAAATCCCAACTGACGATTGTCCAAAATAGTATACCAAGGATTCTCTGCCAAGTTACCTATGATATGGTACATGAGAAGATAGATACGATGTCATGAGCACTGAAGCCACTATCAAGTAGGAATTGTTCTGGCCAATAAAAAGATAATCTACAAAGCCAACCTGATCTAGCTGACCAACATATGAAAGAATTATTGGGGATATTGAAAACAAAATATACAAGCTAGTGCCCTGGGAATGTCTATATACAAGTAGTATGGATTATTAACCAGGAAAGACCCATTGGAAGCCCCAAGCATAATCACCTGATCTACAGCTAAGTTGTTCGGATGTAATGCCACACCTATGGGACTCTAAATATCAATTATAGCATTACTTCCAGCTCCAGGCAGATGCTAGTCATCACCCTTAACAAGTTGATTACATGACAAACTATAGAATCACGGAGTGTCAGAACCCTATGTTATTTACTCAGGATATTTAAGGGACCAAATACGCATTAGAGTTCATCTCCAGGCGTTTATATGACCCATTTTATCTTCATTAGACGGTATATGGGTTTTGCTTTGTTACAGAGCTTGATTTCAAAATCTAAAGCTTCATAGTTTGCAACAAGCCTAGGTACAAGCATACTTCTGTCACAGGCAGGTGGCACTTGAACGGGCAAAAATCACCATAGGTTAGCATTAGTTGTGAGAAACAAAGGTAATACAGATCAATTAAAAAAGGTGCTACCCCATTATGCCCATAACAACATCTAGTCTCTTCCAATTTCTATGGCTTGATTGATGAAATCAAAGTTTAGAATCCACTTATCATAACTTAGCTTTGTCATCATCATCAAAGCCAAAATATTGAGAAACACCCTAGTACTTGCATACGTATTGAAGATAAGAAAACACTTGTTGGTTTTTAGAGTGTTTGGTTAAGCATTATGGGTGCATATTACAACACCAATGATGTTCCTGATGGAAAACGATTCTATTAAATTGTTCAGAGCATACTGGATCACAAGGGACTTCGTAACATTCTAAATCGGACATCCTTGTTGCTTACGATTTCAACTGGAAAACAAAAATGCTTAACCAGAGACACGTAAAATACAGGTCCTTTACCTTCTATCTGTGACTCAGAGGATTTATACTGCAGTTGTACATGTCGAAGGGAACAAAATGCTCCGAGCACATCATTGTTACATAAGATAGCCATGCAAGAATCTGCAACTCAGTTCATATCTGCATTTCATACGCTATCTCCAAATTCTGTCCCCGGTTCAACCTGACATTCTTTTGGCTGCTCATGTTCTGTGAGAAATTCAAAGCATTCATCATTGTCATATCTCATCCATTACCTATGAGATCATCTAGAATGTGAATGGGCCCCAAACTACCCATGCCGTTAAAAAAATTTCGAACTAAGAGATTCCACATGACAATATTTGGGGATATCCCTTTATTTATCATATTCTTGAGACAAGCGACAGCGTCTTCCATGCCAAAACAATTGCAAATCCCCCAAATACGATGCGTGTATGCTGTTAGGTCAGGTTGCCACTCTCCAGCTTCGGTGCTAGCTTCCCATAATCGAATGGCCTCCTTAAACTTGCCCTGGTTACAATAGGCATAAGTCAACATGCTATATGTATAAGCATCAGGGTTTGTCCCTCTGACCACCATTTCCCCGAGAAGCTGCAAGGCACTCTGAAGCATACCCTGGCGACAGTAACCAGAGAAAAGCATATTGTAAGTCATAATAGTCATCCGAATCCCCCTTTCTTTCATCTCTTTGGCAATCTCAATTGCTGCCGCAAACCTGCCTACCTTGAGAAAACCATTTATCAACTGATTATATGTAATTGTGTCAGGGGAACACCCATATTTCCTCATTAAATCAAGCACTTTTATGGCCCAATCAATTCTTCCACCATCACATAAACCTCCAACAAAGGCATTGAATGTTATTAAGTTAGGAGGGCAATCATCCTCAGCCATTTTCAATATTAAGGAATATGCTTGGTCAAACAACAAATTTTTGCAGAGGACATCAACCATACAGGTATACACGACAACATTGGGACGGCAACCACTGAACATCATCTTGTTCCATATCTCTGATGCACCTACCAAACTCCCAGATTTCGCAAAACCATCAATAAGAATGCTATAACTAGTACTGTTAGGAGGAACCCCATTTCTCTCCATCTTATTAGCAACAAGTACAGCTTCCTTCATATTCCCATTAGAGGATAGACCGTGCAACAACGTATTATACGAAACAATATTGGGCAGAAAACCTTCCCTGATCATCTTGTCCCACCAATCAAGAGCTTCATGAATCTTCCTTTTCAACAGAAGACCCTTCATTAATGAGGTAAAGCTGTGAATATTCGGGCGACATCCTCTTACAGACATCTGAGAGAAAATTGCCATAGCCAGCTCAACATGCCCCACATCTGAAAGAGAACTGATGATTGACGTATAAGTGACGACGTTAGGGTCAATATTCTCATCCGCCATCTCGGCGAACAACCGGAAAGCTTCCTTAAATCTGCGTCCCCTACAGAACCCGTCAATCAAAGCATTATAAACAGGGAGACACGGTCCAAACTTCCTGGCAAGCTCCCTCCCTTCCTCTACCTTGCCGACTTTACACAAGGACGAAACTATAGTCGTGTAACTTACAGAATCCGGCGAACACCCCCGGTTCGACATTTCCTCGAGCAACTTCAGCGCACCATCCACTCTACCGTTCTTGCACAATGCCTTAGTAAGGATGTTATAAGTAAACACATTCGGCTCCATGCCGTCCTTCTTCATGTTACTATACACCGGGCTCATCATCGAGAACCTATCATCACTGAGCAAGGCATCCAGCAGGTGATTATATATCTTCACCGTCGGCTCGCAGCCGAACTCTCTAATCCTATAGAACATCTTGAGCGCCTGCTCCACCAACCCGGCTCGCCGATACGAGTCTATCACCTCCACGAACAGCTCCTCCCCGCAGCCGATCCCTTCCAACTTCATCTGCTGCAGCAGGTACTGCACGGCGTCGATCTCGCCCGCGCGGCCCAGCTTCTTCACCACAATCTCGTACGTGAACCGGGTGTGCCGGAAGATACCCCCGTTCGCGACGGACTTGAAAAACCGGAAGGCCGACGAGGCGTCGGGGTCGCGGCGCAGCCTCCTCGCGACGTCGGCTTCGCGGAGGACGGCGGCCGAGGTCCCGCAGCCCGGAGGCTCGCCCGGCGGGCCGACGACCGGGGTCGCGTCACCGTTGAGGAAAACCGGGATGCGGGGCTTCTTCTGCGCTTTCAGGAGCAGAGAACAACCTCGTTTCAGATACATTGTCGTCGCCCCGAAGGAAGCGGCACCGCCGGCGACCTGCCGCGAATCGGGAGACGCGTCACCGAGCGAACCCGTCGCGGGGATCGCGAGAGCTGGAAGCGGAGACCATGGAAATGCAGGACTGCAATACTTCGGAGCTCAGATGACGAGTGCTCTACAACAGGAGCGGAAGCCAGGAGGTGGAGGAGGGGCGAACTCACCGGTTCGCATGATAAAAATGCAAACTTTAGAGTAAGTGAGAGGGAGGAGAGAGGGGCCAGACCACGAGACTCATCAGTGGCATTGTGTCTTTACGGATTTTCTGAGTTTCCTAGGTTTGAAACTCATGTCCAACGTATATATATTTTTGCGAGAAGGACATTGTACCTTAACTTTGGCTAAAAGTGTAACGCGGTCCCTAAAATTTTAATTTGTTCAATGTGATCCATGAACTGTAGCCAAATATGCAATGCAGTCCATGGATTTTCAATTTGTTAATGTGATCCCTGAATTTTTGGTACATAGTCCCCGAATTAAATGAAAATGTTTAATATTGTCTGTGCACTTGAATTAATGGAAGGACAATATTGAATATTTTCATATAGTTCATTGACTAAGTTGAACATACATCAAAAGTACATGGATCACATTGAACAAATTAAAAGTTCGGGGACCACATTGCATATTAAGCTAAAGTTCATGGACCACATTGAATAAATTAACAATTTTAGGGATCGCATTGGATATTGAGCCAAAGTTTATGAAATATTTGTGTCATTATCCCTATAATTTTTGGGCAAGATTAAAAAAAAAAAGCTACCCCATGTGATTAGGCCTATAATTGTTCGAGTAAAGCTGGTTGAGTTCGGTCCTTTAGTTAAACCGGTCCGGGTACTCATCCCTTGTTGGTACCCGATGTATGTGTTGTATCAAGAGACTCAAGACCCACAAGAAGCGGCTCAAGAAGCTTAATCGTGAGGAGCTGAGTGACTTGTTCGGTAGGGTATGGCTCGTGCTAAGGCGGAGGAGATCTCGACGGTGATGTACGCGAGGAGGGGGGCGGGACAGCCGTATGATGATGTCCCTAGAGTTTCATATGCTTGTTGGGATGGAGGGAGTCTATTACGACGGCAAGCTCGGGGTTAGATAGCTGGAGTTTGGGGACTGCATTGCGGCTCTTTTCTTCAGCATGGTCAAGCACTGATAGCACGCAGGCCAACGATCTCCGTAAGGACGGGACAATGATTAGTGATCCTGATCGAGTTAGGTGTTGCGCCTCTTTTGAGCGCAGTATAAAAATTTGGCTTTCTTTTCGCCTCAGTTGATACAGATGAGGTGAAATCGGCAATGTTCGATTTGGGTCAACACAAGGCTCCGGGACTCGATGGCAATGATGCAGAGCTCTTCAAAATGTGCCGACAAACTGGGTGATCAGGTTTTGGGGGCGGTTGTGGATTCTTTCTCCTAGGGGGAAACTTCTTCACGAGGTCAACAATTACCATCATCTCTCTTACACTGATCAAGGATAATCAAATGAAGCTCGTTGATTTCCGTCCTATGTGTGACATTCCAAATTTTGTAATAGCATTATAAGAATTACTATTGAAAATGACCAAAGGTCTATTAGACAATTAACGAAATACTTCCGGGACGTCGATAATTAAGGTACTTGATACATTATAACCCAAGAAAATCATTGTGATGCATTGGACAATTTAAAAGACTAATATGTGGCCCTATGCATAAGTTTAGGGATCAATTAAGGTACATAATTAATGGACCCTAAGCAAGGCCCTAAGTGAACATTAAGTGCACTTAAATTGGACAATTGGGACACAAAAATTGTGCCCAAAATACCCCTGCATGGCCAGCCACATATACCCCTAATTTTTAGATTATTTCATTGATTTAAACCCTAAATGATTGCATGCCACCCATCTCACCCAATAGAATTTCATGCAAAAGGGGGAAAGAGTGTTTAACACTCAAACTGAGCTCTTGATGGGAAATTAACCATATTTCCCCCCCCCTCTCTTCCTCACCTTCGGCCAAAACCCTCCTCACACTTTCATTTCTTTCTCTCATTTCTCTCAAGCACACTCACTTGCTCACTCATCTCTCTCTCTCTCTCACCATTTCTGTGACATCCCCAATTTGGACCGAGTCGACCAAAGGAATGGCCATGGAATTGGAGAGCAGATCGATCTGAGGGTCGATCATGGATCGGCTGGTGTGGTCGGAATGAGTATTTAAAGGATCGATCATGGTTCGATCGAAGGATCGTCCATGGATCGGTCAAGGGATCGGCAATGAAATGACTTCCCAATCACGCAAGTCGATTAGAGTGATTCGACCATGGATCGACCATTCGATTATAAGGGTCGGCAGTGGAACGATCTCGGCCGGCCATGGATCGATGCCGTGCGGGCATGGGTCGGTTGCGGTTGATTCCGTTCGGCTATGCACTGGTTACAGACGAACATGGATCGATTTCATGCGATTACATGATAACCAATGGTTGACCATGGATCGTTGATGCTCGAATATAGACCGGTCACAAATTGGCCATTGATCATTGCGTTGAGTCTGGTAGGCCATGGACGAGCCGTGTGCCAGGCCAAGAGCCTAGTGGCTTGGTCGTAGACTAGGCTTTGTGCCGGCTATGCAAGCCAAGCCTTGTGCCCGGTCATGGACAGTCGTGAGCCAGTTAGTCAGGCCAGGGGCCAGCCCCGTACCCAGCCATGTGCTAGTCATTGTGCCTGACCTATGTGCCAGGCCTTGTGCCCATCGGTTCCGGCCCAGACTTAGTTCCGTGCTAATCAGACTTGGCCACGGGCCATGCATTATGCCCGCCTATGAACCAATGCATGTGTACAGCCCATGAACCGGCCCCTCATTTGTATATTCCGTTCATGTGCTCGGCTCCTCACTCGTACAACCTGGCAATGTGCTCGGTACGCGATTCGTGTGGCCTGGCACTGTGCCCACGCATTCGACCCTGTACCCATGCAGCTGGCCCGACGCCCGCATGTCCTGGCCTTGCGCCCGTGCGGCCAGGCCCAGCGCTCAGTCATGCTTGACCGAATAGGCCATGTACTAGGACAATCCGTTTGGTTCGACCTTGCGCCGTTCAACTCGGTCTTTGGCTCAGCCGTGTCCAAACATACTCGGACATATTTTACACCGAACCTCGGTTCCAAATGGGAAGGTCGATTGTTTATGGCACTTGAAAACCCCTAATTACTTTAGTTCCTTATTAAGTTAAGTTTTAGTGAAAATTGGGTATTCAAACGAAGATGTGCCATTAGAATTAAGCAAGGACCCCAATAATTGAGTGTTCTTGAAATATGACATATGGTTCACGCCTAAGAGCTTCTTGGAATAAGAAGACAAGTTGACTTGACTTAGTAGTTGCATTATTGACAAATTCTTGGATAAGTTGGCCAATAATGAAACCTAGTCCTCAAGCCACTAATAATAGAGTCATGAATCAATAATGGAGTTGTCTTACATGAACCAATAACCGTAGGGGTCTAGAGAGTGATTCACGCCCAAAAAGGGAATTATGGGCTAGAAGACAATTTGACAACTTCCTTTGTAAGTTGTCAATAATTGAACTTGTCAAGAAAGGTATTAATAATAGAGGCTAGGGCCAATAATTGAGGTGTCTTGAGAAAGACACAAATAATTTTGTGTCTTGAAGACCAAGACTAAGGATACACACCCAAGCCAAGAGGAGAGAGTGATTCACGCATAAGAGGAAGAAGCCAAGGGCAATGAAGTGCTATAATTGTTATCTTAGTCTTGAATGACCTAATAGGGTATCATGACCCTCGATTAGCAGCTTGGAAACCAAGTTAGCAACATATGGTCCTCATTTAAAGCTTGAAGAAGAAGACTAATGATGGCCAAAGACTTTCAAGACCATCCTCATTATTAACTTAGAATTTTGGCTCTTTATTCATAAAGGGCATTAGTGGACCATCTTATAAATAGCCCTTGTCCCCACTCAGTCTCCCTTTTTTCCTCACACCATTACCAACTCTCACGCCTCCCTCTCTCTTGCCTACTTCACCATTCGGCCTTCTTGCTCACGTCTCTCTCTTTCTCACGTCTACCCCACTTGGCTGACCACCACCTCTCCCTCACGCCACCTTCTTGGTCCCCACTAGATCTTGCTTTTGTCGAGTAGAGTAAGTAGATTTCCTAATCTCGGGATATGATGATATGATGCGTTGTTTGCTTGTGTCTTTACCCGAGCCTTGATAGAGACTTGTTTGTGTGGATTGTGTGCTTTGTTGTTTTGCAAGACATAGTCAAGAGTCAAGCACGAATCGGTCGCAAAAGAGGGAACGTATGTCTTGTACGAACGTTATGGTGTTTGGATCAAGACTTGCTTGGCAAAGGTTCGATATTGAGGCATATCGGATCCGAGCTAAGTATGATTTTATTCAATGCTTGGCGTGTTGGATCAAGTCACAGGCCCTGGATCGTGGTCGACATACTAGATGATATAAGCTTATTGTCCATAAATCACACTTGGGCAATGTTTGTATGATGCCTACGGTCGACGAACCATGGATGCCCCGGCTGAGGTTGTTGGTGTCGGGAGGAGAATGCCTTGGTTTCCTCTTTAGGGATCAAGATGCCCCGGAGTGTGGGATGATTAATTGTGAATGCCTCGGCGAAGGGTTGTTGTTGTCGGGAGGAGAATGCCTTGGTTTGTTAAGAAATCAACATGCCTCGGAGAGTGGGATGCCTATGGTCAACGTGCCATGGAAGTCCAGTTTGCATACCGGAAGTGACCCGCACGGGCCAGCTTGCCACCCGTTGTACCGTGAGATGGGGGTGGATCAAATGATATGTACATGAATGCAATATGATGTGTGTGATATATGTGATACATGATTGTTTGATACACATGATTTTCAAAAGAAATGCTAATCTTACTTGTTGGTTTGAAATGCAATTCATGTAGGTGTCCTAGGAATCAAGAGTATGTTAGATAGATAGATTTATGAACTTGTTTTCATCTCTTGTTGAGCTATTGCTCACTCCCTTTGATTTACTTCTTTTCAAATAGTTAGAATGGATGTCCCGTTATGGATCGCCCGTATATTTCGATAGCTCTTGGGAAGATGTAACTTTTCCAACTTTGACTTTGGTGTTTACTCATTATGTGTCTATTGTGTGGGTGGACGTCGGTTGGGCACCATTGGTGCCATATCGTTTTGTTGCGTGGTACGTGAAGTTTGGAAGCGAGCTGTTGGGACCCCTTCGTTTCATGGATGACAGAGGGAATGGAGGAAGTAGCGAGGGGAGCGACCCAAGTGAAGAGAGTGACCCCGAGGAGATGATTGAGACTTAGCGGGATGGTGGTGGTGGAATGTGAGTGGGGATACCATTTCAAGATGTCGTAATGGTCTTTTTTTGGTATGGATTACGACGATGGGTATAATGTTTAGTGGCGGTGTATGTATAGAGCCACATTGTGACGGTAGGGAGTGTAACTTTTTGGATTCCTCAATGTTTTCTTTTGGATGTTAATGCCCATGTATGTGTTGGGATGTCACGTCCCAGGCGTGCCCCACTACTATCCGCTAAGTCTCAGTCATCTCCTTGGGGTCACTCTCTTCACTTGAGTCGCTCTCCTCGCTGCTTCCTCCATTCCCTCCGTCGTCCATGAAAAGAAGGGGTCCCAACAGCTCGCCTCCAAACTTCACGTACCATGCAACAAAATGATATGACACCAATGGTGCCTGACCAACGTCCACCCACACAACGGACACATGATGAGTAAACAGCAAAGTCGAAGTTGGAAAAGTTACATCTTCCCAAGAGCTATCAAAATATACGGGCGATCCATAACGGGACAATGGTGAGACATCCATTCTAACTATCCGAAAAGAAGTAAATCAATGGGAGTGAGCAGTAGCTCAGCTCAACAAGAGATGAAAACAAGTTCATAAATCTATCTATCTAACATACTCTTGATTCCTAGGACACCTACATGAATTGCATTTCAAACCAACAAGTAAGATTAGCATTTCTTTTGAAAATCATATGTATCAAGCAATCATGTATCACATAGTCACACACATCATATTGCATTCATGTACATATCATTTGATTCACCCCCATCTTATGGTACAACTGGTGGCAAGCCGGCCCATGTGGGTCACTTCCGGTATGCAAACTGGACTTCCATGGCACGCTGACCATAGGCATCCCACTTTCCGGGGCATCTTGATTTCTTAACAATCCAATGCATTCTCCTCCCGACAACAACAACCCTCCGCTGGGGCATTCACAATTAATCATCCCACACTCCGGGGCATCTTGATCCTTAAAGAGGAAACCAAGGCATTCTCCTCCCGACATCAACAACCCTCTGCTGGGGCATCCACGGTTCGTTGACCGTAGGCATCGTACAAACATTGCCCAAGTATAACCAGTACATGACGACATGCAAATATGATAACTCATGAGTGCAAAACAACAAGTCACGACTGTAACATCACATTCTCTTATACACAGTAGCTTTCACACCACATTTAGATTCTGCCACCACATATATCACCTCATTTCCCCCATCATTTGACCTCAAATCAGAGTCTAACATATCTCATTTGAAAACTCAGAATGTGCACATTAAATCTCCAGAAGACATCAAGTCAAGATTCCAATGTTTTCAAGTGAGAAATGATGCATCTTTGAAATTGGGTAATTCTGTTTTGCATAGTAGCGAGAATCCTTTCAAAATAAATAGTAAATGGACTCCGAAAATTCTAAATTTTGGATATGTTATGAAAGACACTTGGATAAACATTTTTCATGGGAATTAAAAGCCCAAATCTTTTTGTAAGTATCTTGTTTATTAGCTCAAAGACAGACTAGAGCAACATTTTTTTTCCTTACCAAAAATGTTGCTCACTGAAACAGAACATTGGTTCCACAAAGTCAGCTTCTTATCGTATCCAAAAAATCTCCAAAAATTCTAAAATTTTTATATGTTGTATAGGAAGAAGTTCCCAAGAAATTTTGTGAGGAAGTTTGTTCAAAATCATCTCAAAAAAGTTTGTGGAAAATCGAGAAAGTATAGACGTCATAGAAACATCAAATTCTAAGCAGTTTTGTACTGGTTGAAGGTAGGATTTCGCACTACACAAATCAAGTCCAAAAATTCTGAAATTATAATATGTTAAACATCAAGATGTGTGGAACAACTTTGAAGAGGGAAATTTCTGGAAATTCGGTTTACAAAAGCGTCCACAAAAATAATAAACTGGAGAGATACAGGAACCCGAATCTGGGTTTTCTAGAACAAGGGCAAGAAATGAGCCCGAATTGAAAAAACCACCAAATTTGATCCAACAAAACTCATACTCAGCAACTTGAATAAACATGCAATACCCATTTCCACCTCTATTCAACAATCTTCACCCATCTAGGTCACATGCACCACAAGTTCTTACCGTAGAACACTGTTGTAAACAGATGCGGAAAAACAAATACAGAACACAGGGATTTACGTGATTCGATCACAACGTGATCTACGTCCACGGGCGAGGCAAGACAAGAATCCACTATAATCAAAGGAGAGTACAGTTTTCAGAAGTCGAAACATCGACAAAAGCTCACGGCTCACAAAACTCTCAGAAAACAAAATTCTCTCTGTACATCAATGAGAAAACCTAGCCGCCGTATAAATAGTGCTCCCCAAAAAAAATTTCCTTGGGGGCTACGCTCCCGAACCCCCCCGAGACATTGGTTCGCTTACTCCAGCTTGGACGGTCCACCATGGAGATTTGTTCGCTTGCTCCAGGTTGGGCCTATCGGCCCAACCCTCCGCGTCACTAACCAAATCTCAATTTTCTCTCCACTTTCGGGTTGGACAAAAAATATGTCGGGTCGGGTCATCAACCAGACCGAGTACATAAAATTCAAGACATATTTAACAAACACACATGCAAGGTGAATAGAGCCTTGTACACTCACATGCACACTCAAAATCTTACCTGAACAGCAACATGCACGCTCATTTAACATCACAAAATCAACATGCAAGACCAAACAATTCATCCACAACAACAACCAAGCAAAACCAAGGCCAATGAGAGATGAATAGGCTTAGGAACAAGCATCATCTCCTTGCCTTGGGTTATCTAGGACCGGCGACACTTCCCCTAGAGTGCTGGTCACGCCAAAAACGGATGAAACAAGCTGGAATTGGAGGTGTTTTGGGCGGTGAGAGAGAGAGATGAGTGAGCAAGTGAGTGTGCTTGAGAGAAATGAGAGGAAGAAATGAAAGTGTGAGGAGGGTTTTGGGTCTGGCCGAAGGAGAGGAAGAGAGGGGGAGGGAAATAGGGTTAATTTCCCATCATGAGCTCAATTTGAGTGTTAAACACTCTTTCCCCCGTTTGCATGAAATTCTATTGGGTGAGATGGGTGGCATGCAATCATTAAGGGTTTAAATCAATGAAATAATCTAAAAATTAGGGGTATATGTGGCTGGCCATGCAGGGGTATTTTGGGCACAATTTTTGTGTCCCAATTGTCCAATTTAAGTGCACTTAATGTCCACTTAGGGCCTTGCTTAGTGTCCATTAACTATGTACCGTAATTGATCCCTAAACTTATGCATATGGCCACATATTAGTCTTTTAAATTGTCCAATGCATCACAATGATTTTCTTGGGTCATAATGTATCAAGTACCTTAATAGACCTTTGGTCATTTCCAATAGCAATTCTTATAATGCTATTACGAAATTTGGGATGTCACACTACGTTCCGTTGCATCGTCTCTAAGATTGTCGTTTCGCGAGTTAGTGCTCTGTTGCCGGGGTCGGTTGGGCACGAGCAGTCTCCTTTTTGTCGAGGGAAGGAGAACTGGGGATAATACCTTGTTTGCTCATGAGCTACTTCATTGTTATTATTCTGATCGAGGGCCTGCGAGGTGCACCTTGAAGGTGGATGTGACGAAAGCTTATAAATTTTGATTGAGTGGGATGCAATGCGGGCCGCATTGCATCGCTGCGGTTCTCCTAAGAGGATTAGTGACCTCTTCATGCGGTGTCTTACTATCGCCAAGTTTTCTGTATCCTGAAATGGCGGACTAGCGGGTTTCGTCAGACAGATCCTTCATTCCTGTATCAATTCCTCCTGGCTGTGGAGGTGTTCTCGGGTATGTTGCAGAGAGCAACGGAGGACCAGCACTTTCGTTCATACTGGCAATACCTGAAACTGTGTTTATCGCCTTTGCATTCGTTTTGTGGCTTGTCATTTCGCAGATACTTCCCCCTCGGGATCGCTTATATCGCCTAGGTATTGCCAATTCATTGAGCGCTGCCTATGCTCATGTCGACAGGGTTCACTGAGTCATCTTGTCTTCCGGTGTTCGTTCCTCCCAACTTCAGGACAGCATGGCGTGGCATTCCTCAAAACCATCCGTTGAGTCTACACAAGGAGTTTAAGCGCATATTGAGTGCTTGTGTTTATTATGTATGGATGGATCAGAGTGCACCAAAAACAGGATCGACACACTCCTTCAGCAGTTACTATTAACTTTGCTAAGTCATGTGCTCATTTATCTTATTGTAATTTGATTGACCTTAAGTTTGCTTTGGCTACTTGTTTAGTTCCTGTATCGTTTCGGCTATAGAGCCGTGTCATTTTCTAGGCTATGCCCATGCGACTCTGTATTATACTTACTGATAAAGAAAAAACAAGAACCTACAACAGATAAGTGAGAGTACACAAATTAGACAAATAAGTTGAACTAAACAGGAGATCTCTGACAGGAAGTTCATGCTTGAATTTCCAGTACTACTTAGAACTAAAATTCTCCATCTCTGTTCATCGGTTCTGCGAGCTAAGTAATACTGATTCCCTGTGCTTTCATGTCCAGCGAATCATCCACAAAAGAAAGATTGCTTGCAAGATGCGAGTCCGATAGAAGCACCGTATACACTTATCATTGCCCGCTATATCACATACATAGTACATACACCACAGCCTTCTCTTCAGCATGTGATCATTTTATTGCTCAAACCAACATGCTCAATCCAAGTGAAAGCTTCCACGTTAATACCAACATGATAAAAGACTAGAAAATTACATATGGGCTGAGCTTTCTCCCTCTGAATAGGAAAGAGCATTCTAATCTATCCAGAAGTGTTTCCAATTTGGTCCACTAAACGTTCAGTTGACATTTCACGATTGCCTTCCCTACAAAATTTCAGGGAACTTTATGCAAGTGTCATGGGCCGAAAGCTTCTCGCCCAAGGACAAGCCTTTGAGGTGCCTGATGAGCTGGAACACAAGGCCAGCTTTCGGCCCGTGACACAAGCATGGTGGTAGGGGTGCTGCTTACCCATAAGAACTTTCTTTTCCTGCAATAAAATTGGCGATCGTTCTCAGTCCCAAAAAAAAATTTCAAACATACTGCGATCATATAATTCCTTAGCTATCCAGCTATGCAGCTATAGATAAAATGGATGATTTGCTTGTAGTAAGACAAATGATTCTCACACTTGAATAGTTAAACCTGTTGAATAAATTCATTTTCCCGCCTTATCTAAGGGTAGAGACAGAATGAGATACCTAGGACTTCTCTTATCATACTTTTACTAAATGTTGCATTCAAGTAAGAGTGGCTTTACTAGCCAGTAGGAGAACTGCTAAGGCAGACGCAGACTTCTGTCAGCAATATAGAGACCAGCGACAACTCATAGAGTTAAAGATTGCAATTCGCTCTGAAAAAATGAATTGAAGAGAATAATTAAAATCTCCAATAATAAATTTTGGCCAAAGTTTCTGACTAAAATATAATAAAGGCGCTTCCGCTTATAAAACCACCATGGTAATAAAATCCACCGCCATGTGAAGATCCATATGTTGTTTCCCTCACTTGTGCCAAACACAGACAATTAAAATAGCACAAAAGTTGATATTTCTAATGAATACCGAAGGACACTCTTCGGAAAAGAACTAGTACAACAGGATCAGTTCATAAGTCTAGCTCTTTACCTTTCATTTCCAGCATAATTCGTCAATAATTGCAAGCTGCAATGTGACTCTAATCTTCAAGTAGAAAGCTTTCACTCCGGGTCAATGCGTTCTAATGTTACCCGTTGCCATCATCTCAATATCCTTCTCAAACTCTTCCTTTCGAGTCCTCACGCGTTCTCTTCTCTCGCGCCATCCCATCTCCACTAATTCAACAAACTTGTCCTTAATCTCAAGCAAGGGATCCCTATCAATCAACACACCATCCTTATACGCTTCCCTCAACATGGCCGTCTCTATGTTTCCCTTCAGGGACATATAAAAGATCCCTGAATGTCTAGTGAAAACAGTCGAGAATGCATTTGAAAATCTACAGTCCTCAGTGAACTTCCCCAGTATTGGCACTGGAATCCTCTTAAGCAGTGAGAGCGAGAGCAGCTCATGGAAGACTCCCACTGTCCTCTTCTCCATCTCCGGTGAAGCCTGGTCCAAATGCGACACCTCCTCGTACGGCGATATGTAATCAAGCTCCAGCCAATCCCTCGTCCACTCCCTCATTTCCTTCTTCAAGAAAAAACCGGGCGGGAGCTTGACATTGAAATTAGGCCTGACCTGAATCCCCGTCAACCTCGCCTCCTCCTCCGCCCTCTTTTCAATCACAGATTTCGCCCATTCCGCCTCGTAAGAAACCAACTCCAGAAAGGATTTTCCCTCTCCCGGGGACCCGACAAGCCTAAAATACCGCGAATGCCTAGGCACTAAATTCACCATGAAGTCGTTCGGGAACCCGAATTCCCTCTTCACGTGAACCAGCTTATCCGCGCTGATCACCTTGTCCTTCGACATCATCAGCAACTTACACAGCTTCGACACGATTAACAGCTCATTCGCGCCGTGTATCCTCTCCTCCTCCTCAAGGAACCCCCTGAGCCTATCGCTAGCCCGCAAGAAGGGGACAAGATCCGATTTTGGCCTAACCCTATCATAGTAAGTGTCGAAAAGGCCCGGGTTTCGATCCAGGAAGGTCCTTACCGTGAACTTGAGGCGCATGCGGTCGCGCCGCTTCTCGAGGTAGCGGAGCGGGATGACTTGGCCGGGCTCGTTGAGGACCTCCTTGACGACGCGAGCGCAGAGGTTGTAGCGCTTGTCGTTCTCGATGGCCTCGTCGAGCTTCGGGTCCTTGCGCCACTCCACCTTGAGGCTGGAGATGGGTCGGATCTGGAGGTGGAGCGGGGGGCTTGCGGCGGAGGACGCGGTGGTGGTGGTGGTGGGTCTCAGCTTCTGCAGGGCGTGGGCAAAGGAGGAGGAGGAGCGAGTTCGGAAGGGCATGCCTGAGATGGGCGCGCTCTCGCTTGGAAGGCGGCGAGGTGGCCGGAGGAGGAGGCAGCGTCGTCGGGAAGGGAGGGGGCGCCGCCGCCGTCGTCGCCGGAGGAGGTGGAGGCGTCGTTGGTGGACTTGCGGCTTTCAACAGAAGGCATTTACATGTATTACTGACTCCAACTGGTAGTACGGATATTCAGTCAAACCACTTTTGGACCCCAAAAAAAAAAAAATCTCTTTTTTGTCAACTATAATTATTTAAATATTTACATTATGTCAATATTAATTGATATATTATGACCAAAAAATAATATATATAAATTGATATAAGCATTTCAATGGAATTAAGATTTGAGTTTTCCTTTTATGAATATCAACATCTTATCCACATAAATTAATACAGTCTATTTGATTCGTCGTGGTAATTCATTATGCTTAGTAATTTTAACTTCACGTGTCATTCTGAAGTTACTAGAATTTGATTTTCACGATAAATGCCGATCTGTATGTATTAGGGATGAATATGGTCTGGGTGAGCGGTTCCAACCCTAGAATCGGGAACCACCCACTAAGGATCGATTCCGAAAAATTGAAACCGGGAACCACCCGTTGGTTCCATGGATTCACCCGAGAATCGAACCGCCGGTCCGGTCCGATTCCTGGGTGGGTCCATGGAATCGATCCCACTAGTCAAGGAAAGATATAGAAAGATGGAGACGGAGACGGAGCCAGAGATGGAGAGTTGGAAACGATGAGGTGAGCATTGATCAAGAAGAATGAGAGAGTGAGAGTGAGCGTGAGACAAAAGCGAAAGAAGGTGTTTCTTGGCTCAATATGAAGCTGTGAGCGATTTAAGTTTAGTTTAGGGATTTAGATTTTTTTTTAAAAAAAAAAATTAAATAAATATATTATATTTATTATTATATTACCGGTCTAGTCCGGTCCGGGCGGGCAGGCGAGCGATTCTATACCTGGAACTGGAAACTGAACCGGTACCCACCAGTTCCCAAAAATTGGAACCAAGAACCGAACTAGTTCCGGGCGATTTTCAGTTCTTTTGCACACCCTTAATTTGTGTTATGTGCTTCGAAATCCTCATCAGGGGACGATTGCCTTCGATAGAGTTCCTAAAAGGCTATATATCTAGTTAAAAGCACAGAACCCACAAAATTACTTTATTAACGTATGTGTGCACAACTTGAGTGATTGGCGAACTTTTCATAGCGTAAATAAAGCAAATCATTTGAAAACAATTTGTAAAAAGATCTTATCAAACATCATAATAAGAAAATGTTGTAATTTTCGATTTATTAGTTGCCCTCACAACATGTACAATCAGTATTTTAAAATTAAACATTCTCTCATTCAATACATTCATAAAAAAACATTTACCTACTCTAAGTTCCAACTTTTTTCGCTTAATATCTTATTTTAGTTGAACCATATACTAATCATATGTTGCCATTTTAAAGCATTCACCTTTTCTGTTTTTTTTATTCGTTTTAATTCTTGCAGCTTGTCTGAGATTCGCATAGGCCAAACTTTACTTTTGGATACCAATAAGAGTCGCTAATGGCACAATCGGGTTTATCTCATGCAAAACCCTTCCTCCACTTTATTTATAATCAATAACAATATTTTAATTTGCAAATATATGAATAGAACTAAAACTATCCTTCTTAATTTTTTCTATCCAAAATAAATTTCTGACGAAGAGAGTGAGAGCGAGCTAAAGGAGCTCATCCAATCCACAACCATGTCTGTTTGGAAATGCTGTCTTGCGAACTGGCCAAAATGCAAAGCCTCTTCGAAGGAACACGACCTACCCCGACGAGGTCAAGGAAGAACAGCTCTTGCGTAACCAGGATTTCGATACATCATCGCGATTCCGATCCACGGCATTGAAGCAACTCTACTTCGAAAAGCACGAAGTAGAACTCGAGCATGACAGTACAAGGTCATGAACTTCAGTCAAAACCTGATGTCTCAAAATCCATGGCTCGTCAGGAAAGGTCCTGCCGGGGCCGGCTAATCAAGAAACGCCTGAGATCCTGCCCAGATGTTTGCATGGAACCCATAAAACGGTTCACTGTAATTAAAGGCAATAAAAGGGGAAACTGAAGGCAGTTCCAGCCGGAAACAAGCACAAGAGGGGAGACAAATGGGAGGACGACATGCTTGTCGGTGTTCAGTAGGACCATGCGAGGGAGGCGCTAAGCAAACATTGCTATTACGGTCTTGTTATTGCTCTTTTACGATCCGTGGAAATGTTAAAAATTATGAATGACAAGCATGGCCGCCGAATCCAGGGTGCCATTTTTACACGTCGTAAATGATATAGTGCGCTTCCATTCGCAAGTATCACACCTGTTTCCTCTGCTTACCAGCATCGACCACCAATGGAAAACTCTAACTTCCCACATCCACCATGACGGACATGTGCGCCGGACTGGAACTTCTCTTCCCCACGGAAAAGACTGATAAATAATCATTCTATACAAAGAATGTACGATTCGCATCTTATACCTGCACAAAGGAGTTAAGCATAACTTTAGACTTCAAATTAACACGGCGAAAGATACTAGCTGATGGTTAGCTATTTTTCAGTAACCAATGTCGCTCGAACTGAGCAATTATCGATGAACAACACTAACTGAAGTATATTTCACTTTCATCACCTTTCTTAGCCGAAACCTAACATTGAACTTTTCAGTCCAGATGATGAAGGAATGCCTCAAATGAACCCATCGTTCATTATGACTTACTGATCGCCTCCACAGTATGATATGTTTATTGTTTTGAATTCCATGCAAACTAAATCACCATTAACTCTCATTTGAAAATAGATATGAAAATAAGATCAATTAAATTTACTGATGCTTACCCATATCCGAGGGAACTTTAGGAAAACAAATGACAGAGAGTATAAAACACTTGAGATGACTGCTGCAGAGATCATATTGTTGAAAAGACGCTTGTTATCTTTACTAGCCACAAACGCATTTTTCAGTGTATTTGTGAGGTTGAAGAGTCGGTGTGACACCTGCAAGCAAGAAACAGAATGTGATGTGCGAATTTGAGAGGATCTGTGTAGTGCAAACTTAAATTCTCCACTTACCACAATGTATATGCAGGTAGTGAGCATGAAGTTCAACATTGGATAGTCAGGAATGAGTGACAGCAACAATTTTGGTTGACCATCCGGAATGCCTGACCTGCAAGGTCAATAATTGAAAGAATTAAAGATTGGACTTATATCAACAGGCTTCCCTTCAGGCATACCAATAAAGCTGAAAGCTCAAACCAAGTTCATGATTGAATTGAGAGAGATAACACTACTTCTAAGCGATGCTGTATAATTCCTGATCACTACCAATTTCATGAATCAAGAACTTAAAGGCAGCTCCTTGGAAAGAAATGGTCATTGCAAGAGAGGCGACAAGATCAAATGTATCATGTACAACGGTTTACTGTAGGGAGTCATGGTCCACATGCTCCTTGCAAATGGTCACTTAACCAACCCAATTTTGGGTAATCCAAGTCATAGCAACAGGCATGTGAAAACATCTGATAAGCTTTATGTACCTTAACCAAATATGGATTTGAGAGATGTAGGTCTCCAGGGTTATCTTCCCAAGCCATCTTATAAAAGAAAACGACCTTGTTAACATCCATTGATCATCCACCGAATTTTGAGATAACTCAAGACTTCCTCAGTCAACATGGAACGTAGAACTTTCAATATGAATACAAATAAAATTAACTTACGCGAAAAGGGTCAACGTGCAACTCCGAAGATGCTGAGTAACATTTCGCAGGGATATATAGACACTGACACAAAGCAATGATCCATTAATAACAAGCAACCTCATCAAGCTCATGTCACAAAGTAAGGGGAGAATCATACGTAATTGGGATCCATGAGGTATAAGGATGGTACTTATTGTAGGTTATCTTGTCCAGCTTGTATACATACTCAAACCACAGATATCCCACCTGCAAAATTTAAAAGACCGAAATGTTTTCAGGGATAATGGCTCTTAATCCATTGTCTAATGTAGGATGGTCCAATACTACTGTCATTGTTTGTCCTCCGTATGAATTACCGTTAATGACGTCGATATGACAGCTCCTTTTATTAGGAGTCTGCGTTTCCATTCTGCTTCTTCCAGCTTCTCCATCCACCTTTCAACCTACAATATAAGAAGCACACAATTTTGGCATCTATTAGGAGAGGATCATGCAAATGCTTCTGTAGACTTTTACCAGCTAAATTTAAGTTAAGCAGATAAAGGAATATGAAAATCTCACACGGGACGTACAGTTGGATGATAATAAGCGTAGATCATCCCCACTATCCATATGTAGCGGTCAAGGCCGGAACGGAAGTGCCACTCATGCAATAAAGGAAATTTTGGTTTTGAAGGATCTGGATCAGAATAACCTGAAAGACAACAATGTTTTCTTAGCGTGATTTAGGGATTTCGTCAATGTCTATATGGATGTCATTAGAAAATTACTAACCTAGAAGAAATGTGAAAGGGCTCCAAACCAGTTCAAATACCCCAGGAACTTCCCACACTAGAATAACCACCAAAAAGCAAGCAATGATTTTCAAAGCAATCGCCATCCCAACTTCATTGTATTTGTTTAGAATACCGAGTGCTCCATAGACCATAAGGGTGAAAAGAGTGTGCATCGGGCAGATGTAATAAAGCGTGTAATTATTGTTGAGGACAACGCAGCAAAATAACACCAAGAAATTAAGTCGCCACATCATCTGTTCAGCAAGAGGTTATTCAGTAAGGAAGCAAGGCAAGTTCTAGGGAAACAATCTTCATCTAAGCAGTTCACATACCTGGGCAAACCTTACAAGACTAAAATCTTTGCGCACATAATAATATGAAAAGTTCCCAAATCCAGTCATCCAGACATATGCGGCAATGAATATGCGGATTGCATTATAGATTTCTGAGGCAGCAAAGTAATGGTACATCAAAAATAATACCTGCACAATGGAAGAAAAAACTAAGCAACCGACCAAACAGACAGTTGGGACTTTGGAACTCCATCTACGAAGATAACTCTATGCAGCCAGAGTCAATTGAACCAGACTACCACATGGTATCATCTGAAAATTTAAAGCTGATTGCGACAGTTAGAATTTTCCCGCATACGTCTGTGTGCCC